TGGAGAAAAACCTAGTGCAGCCGATTAAACCCGTGTTAGTGGTTTCCAGAAAGTTAGCGCTTTTGCATATAATGATAATCCTACAATATTGATTGGCACAATATTTTGAGGTTCTTGTTTCTTTGCGCCACAAGCAAATGGGCACCTCTTTACACAGCTGCTTTGGACACCCTGAGCAATCTCGCGTGCGATGTAAGTTACTCGTGTAATGCTTTGGTTAGTTCACTGTTAATTTGTTTATTTATTTTAGATAGATCTTACTTGGCATAAGATGGTGCATTGTGCTGATCATACCCTTCTGCGTATCGTTAGAGAGGGGATCTTCAGCACAGACAAATTTAAGGTAAGAGTTCTTACATCCTCCAAATAAGTCCATCTGTATAATAAAACTTTTTCCAGCTCATACGTTCAATGGAAATTCTTACTGCTCTCTGTGGCTTTGAGGGAAATGAGGCCACAATATGCGACTTCCTCGATAAGAATACCTTCGAACACATTTTCAATATAGTCTGTATTAAAGACATAATGATGTGCGTTTACACATTGGAGTGTTTATATCAGGTGAGTTATCATGTGGTGAGCTCACAGTACATAATTACTCATTACTAGTAGCGGGTCCCTTTCGTTCGGGTTTTATTAAGATGTTGTTTAGATTTCGGAGATGGGAGATGTCGCATGTCAGTTGTTGGCTGACATACCGCGAGCCATCACTCAACTTGTGTCTATGGCTACGTTAGAAGCTGTCAGCTTTGGACCTGCAGGGCTTGCTGGCATGAAAGTGGTGGAGTATCAACCAACTCATATGGTAAGCTGGGCATAATGGTACCAAAACATCTGGTAGACTGTGCGTTAATTATCAGGAATCTCCGGCTTAAGTAAATTTAAGTGTTTCTGATCTTCCGTTCTTTTTTCATCCCACAATTCTTGATAGTCTGCATTCTCTTATAAAACTTCTCGGTTTATTGGTGGCTAAACGCAAATATTTGTGAAAAGAACTAATAGTAAGGCTTTCAACTTCCGGAAAAATGCTCTTGAACGGAATATGACGTTAAAGACGTTTGTATTTATATAGTTTCGTTAGATTTGAGCAAGAAATAGTCTTTGTTTTGAATTTGGTCGTTTCTCTAGGTGTGGTAAAGTTTGGTTAGTCATCAAGACTGATGGATTTTGGGATTTCATATGTGACTTTGCTTGAAAATTTTCTTAAATCGATAATTGTTGAATTGCCATGGAGTGATAATTATCGAGATTGTTGTGTGCCCACCCACTTGACTTTTTCAGATGCAGCCACATACTATGCAGCAGCACAACCAGTATGCTGTTCAACATCATCAAACACCGCAAATCCAGCAAGTGAGCTCAGTCTAATTTGAAACCCTTTTTCTATACATGAATTCTCGTATTCTTTGTAGACGAGAGTGCTATATCCTGGAAGCACTCAAGTCGCTGGTCCACCGCAGCAAATGCGACATCTTGTACAACAGCATATGCAACATCCAAATGTTCATGTACAGCCTCCTCACCATATATCTGCTATGCCACAAACGCCAAGAACTCATTTCGCTCCTGCGCCTCAAGTTGCTGGCGTAGTTCCAGCTGGAGCGTCTGCAGGAGGAGAAAATAAAGTATGGTCCTGTCTTCTGCCTAAACTGATTCTCCAACCATAGGACTTCTTGATGCCTTATCTTTGTACCACTTTTGATGATAATTAACTTTTCAGGTCGATCAACTGACGGAGCAGTGGATCCGTCAAAATTGTATTTTGGATAGGACTTCAGTTACTCCTCGTGGAGAGCTTTACGCAGCTTACGTGGATGATTTACGCAATCAGTACCATTCTCTCAGTGGTAGTCTCGCAATGTTCAGTAACGTCATGAAGTGAATGAACATTTCTTGTGTGCATAGGAGATATTGAAGACATTTTGTAACCTGAACCTTTGAGGAATATCTTCCCTGAACTTGTATTCAAAATGGCTGACAATGGCTTGATGATGGTGGCACAAGGAATCCGACTGGTGAAACCTCACCGTAAGTTGGACTTCACAAAATATTTTCAGCTGTAGAGTATACTATCGTTGTTTCTCTCTATCTCGCTTTTGTTATTTTTCACAGGACTTGCCCCTGCTGCCTCTGCTCAAGTTGT